TTATAATTTTAATAATTATATTATATTATATTCTTAATATTTCTATTATAGTTTTCTTTATAAGGCTAAAAATAAAAAATTAAATTATTATAAAAATTATATAGATATTAAGGTAATTTATAATAGTTTTAATATTATAACTTTTTATAGCTTAATATTTTTATATTTTCTACTTTTAATTATTAATTTCTCTATAATTTTAAAAAATATAAAAAAGTATAAAAAGTTAAAAAAAAAAAAAAATAAAAAGCTAAAAAGGCTTTTAAAGAGGCTATAGCTTATTTAGCTTATATTTATAAAATAAAGTATTATCTTAAGGAATAAAATAATAAGTTATTTTCTTATAGAATGCAATCTTTAAAGGAATAAAGTGGTTTTTTCTTTAATTAGGTAGAATTATCTATAATATTTAAGGCTTAATCTTATAGTATAGTAAATATAATTAATTAGAATTCTATTTTTATAGATATTCCTTTTTTTAATCTTTTTATTATTATTAATAAAAATTCTTTAAGAGTTATTAGGTATTAATAAGGTATTTTAGTAATTCTTAAGTATTTTTATTTTTTAGGTAGTTTTTCTATTTTATTAAGTATTCTTTTTAATTATTATTTTTATATATATTTTAAATAGTTTTTACTTTATAGACTTTTAGTCTTAAGATTTCTTATAGTTTATTGCCAGTTTTAACTTATATTATATTTACTGCTAATTTAAATAATAAAATATAAAAGATTAAATAGAGTTTAACTTTTAGTAATAAGTTTAATTTATAGTTATTTTTTAAGATTTTTTATAATACTTTATAAAGTCTAATAAATTTATAATTTAATTTATATATCAGTCAGTTTATTTTAATGTTTTTTATAGTTAGGTAAATTATATCTTTCTTTAAAAAGGTTAGTATTTTTAACTATTTTAAGTTATAGTAGTTTTTTATTTATTTTTTAATAAATTTAAACTTTATTTTTATTTCTTTATATAGATTTTTTATATTATTACTTTTAATAATAGCAGCTAAATTAATAGATTTTTCTTATTATTTATTATTATAATAGTTAGGTTTTTAAACAGATAAACTAATCTATATTAGGTTTATATTTATAGGGTATATAAGGCATTATATTAAGTATATTAATAAGGTATTATATCTCTTAATAGTTAATAATCTAGATAAGGCTTATTAAGGTAAAGAAGTATTATTAATAGCTAATAAGCTAAGTTCTATTTACTGCTAAATAAATATATATATATACTGTAATATATATAAGTTAAATAGGATTAGTTTAACTTTATTTATAACTATTTATTATATAAGTTAAATAGCATATATTTAACCGGTATAGGGTAGGTAGTTTTTAATTAGGTAAAAAATAGTAAGGTATATATATATATATATAAGACTGTATTAAGTTATAATATAATCTCTTCTCTCTTTAGGGTCTTATCCTTAAGGCCTATAAGTAATTAAGTATAAATTTATAGGTATATTTTAAACTTACTTTTATAAATATTTTTCCTATTAATAATATATCTAGCTATATTTTTAAATATATTAACCGTTTTAAAATAGCTTTTAAGTATTAAGAAGATATTTCTAACTTAATTTATAAGTTTAATTTTAAAATATCTTACTATTCTGCCTATTTTTAGGCTAACTATCCTTAATATATAGTTACTAAAGGTAAGTAATAATGCAGTTTTTATATTTCTAAAAAATATATTAATTATAATTTTAAAAATATAACTTCTTAAGCTTATCTATTCTTTCTTTTCTTTTATATTTTTCTTTTACTAATTTTAGTAGTTATATATATATTATATAAAAAAGACTAAATTAATAAGTAAAAAGAGTAGGCTAAGGCTAATCTTTAAGAAGCTCTAGCTTATTTATAGTATTTATATTATTAAAAGAAATATCTTTATAAAAAGGCTATTAAAATAGTTTATTATAGATATAAAGATCTTAATAAGTTAAAGGCATTAAAGACTTAAGAGTTATTTAATTATTAAGTAGCTAAATTATTTACTTTAAATAATATTTAACTAGTAAAGGACTATAGGGTTATTAATTAGAGTTTTATATTTAATTTCTTTTTTCTTAAGGTTAATAGAAGTTCTTTAAGAGTTATTAAGTATTAATAAGGTATTTTAGTGGTTTCTATATATTTTTACTTTTTAAGTAGTTTTTTTATTTAATTAAATATTCCCTTTTATTATTTATTATTTATATTTCCCTAATTACTTTTACTTTATAGGTTTTTAATCTATTAATTTCTTTTAATTTATTATTAATCTTAATATAAATTATATTAGCTATTAATTCTAGTAATATAATATAAAAGATCTTATATAACCTAACCTTTATTAATAGATCTAGCTTATAATTATTCTTTAAGATCTTCTTAATAATCCTATAGGGCTTAATATATTTAAAGTTAAGTTTATAACTTAATTATTTTATAGTAATATTTTTTATAAATAAATATATTATATTTCTTTCTTTAAAGATTAGTCTTTTTAATCTTTTAGGGTTATAATATCTTTATATCTATTTATTAATAAATTCCAGTTCTATTTAAAGTTTATTATATATATTCTTTAAATCCTTACTTTTAATTATAGCTATTAAGTTAATAATTTTAGTTTATTATATATTATAGTATACTATTAAGGTATAGCTAAAATTAGCATTAAATAGTATAAGCTTTATACTTTTATTATAGGCAGTATTATAGGCTAACTAGATATATAGTAATTTCTTAACCTAATTATTTTATTTATAGTTAATATAATACTATAGGTATTATTTTATTATTTAATTTATCTATTTTATCTATCTATTTACCTAAAGTCTAAATACTATTATAAATCTATAATTAACTTCTATATATACTATTAAAGTCTTTTAAAACTTATTAATAAAGGTAATACCTCTATCTATTAAAATCTCTTTAGGTATTTCTCTTTTTTATATTATTTTATTATAAAAGATATAGGCTAGGATTTCTATATTTATTATCTCTCTATAGGATATATAAATTAAAAACTTTATCAGTCTTTTAATAATAACTAAAACACTATTATAGTAAATTCTAATTAAGGATTTCTTTAATAGCAATAATTTAGTAATAAAATCTATTATAATTAAGCTTTATAGTGCTTTTATAACTTTAAGTAATTATAGTTCTCTATATAGTTTATATTTATATACTTTTATTTATATATAAATATTATATTATTTAATTACCTTTTTAATTATCTTTTATAGCACTTTATACCTCTATTATAGGAATTATTTAAATATTTTTATTACTTTTTAGTATCTAT